AATGTCAAACCATTGTTTGCTGCTGTAATTGAGCCTGAGGAAGCCTTACTTTCACAAGGTCCCTCATCCACTTTCTCAGTTTTGCAGTGACAGCCTTCTGCCCGCAAACCACAGTGGCATGTGTGTGCTTGTGTGTTTATATGGAGGTGTTTACCTCATACGCAGGGCTTTTTTTCAGCCAGAACTCACTGGAACTCAGAGTTGGCACCTCTCAGGTGGGTGCCATTACTATTATAAAAGAACAAGGAAGGTGTTCATGGAGAATTCTGACACCTCTTTTTCTAGAAAAATAGCACTGCTCGTATGAGCCCACAACTGCCACCTGGAGTGGTTAGGTTCACACACAAGTTTCCTACTTCAGTGACCTAAAATGACTAGGGCAGTTCTTGAACTGCCACCACCAGTGTTTTCTGGGTCCTCTAATTATATTGGGTGTTATCCATTGAAGTGATACTCAAAGTAGACTCCCTTGAAATCAATAGACTTAAGTCTTGATTTCAAGGAATCTGCTCTACAATTTTGTATGGCTGTCACCCAAAGATAATTAAAATAACAATTTACCACTGAATTGGAGTGTGATTGTGCTCTTCTAACTTAAAGTAAACAACAAAACAAGGAAACAAAGTAAACAGAACAGAGAAGAATGTATGAGTTCAATGTAACTATTGCAACAGTTCTTTTGGGATCACCCCCTATAGAACTAAAGTGCAACACTGTGTTTCTACCTTACTTTGAATGTATTTTTACATGATTAGTAAAGCTTATTAGCAAACCTCTTGACTGCCTGCCAATAAAGCTCTTGGGAGCCATGCAAGGGGAAGAGTAATCAGCTCATATTCACCAGGGATCATATCTCAGATGAAGATCAATGTGATATTTTAATTTCACACTCCCTCTTCAGGGAGTTTCTATTATGGATGGATTGCATATGTTTGGCTGTGGGGAAAAAAAGATTTCCAAACCAGTCAAACCAGTCTAGAAATCTCATTTGTTTTGTTTTTATTGTTTTAACCTCACAGGCACATTTGGAAGTGAAGGTAAAATTCAAATGACTTTAATATTTTTGGAGGGAACATAAACTCTTCTTCTGAACAATCACCATGCTTGGCTTCTTACACTGGAGTAGCTTTTGAAAATGGTAGGTTGTCTTTATAAACAGCACACTACTAAGAAAAGACAGAAAGAGAGAAGGGAAATTTGGACCGATGGCTTCACCAACTCACCGTCATCTAAAATATAGATTTGAGCATTTACTAATTAAGACATTTTCTAAAGAGTAAGAAGACTTGTAGGGGAAAACAGTCTAGTATTTCCCAATCTCAGCAGTCAGGAAATCTTACTTTGGTTTCGAAACCACAAAGTAGCACTGAGTCAAACAAGGCAAAATCAGCAGACAACTTTTTGACGTAAATGAGTCTTTCCCATTAGCGATCTCTTGTTTAAATAGTGGAGTTACAAGACCTGTAAATTAAAGGTATAGTGAGAAAAGGGTATTGAGAAAAAGGTAGTTTTAAAACCTCAGTCCCGGATGCTTTTGAAAGAGCAGTTTCTCAACACTTGTCCTAGCTAACTTGGGGCACACATCCCAGCTAACCAAACTAGATGTGACATTAATTGCATTCAGGAATGCAAGTGTGTGTGTGTGGTTTGTTATGCAAACAGCCTTTGTGGGAAGCAGCTGAGCAGCCTTGGGATTGGAGGTGGGAAGGGAGAGTTTAATCCTTTCTATCCCAGGCAAGGTCCTGTTTAAAAAAGGGGGGGGGGCTCTCTGAAGCCATTTTCATTTCAAGGTAAGCCTCCACTGATGCCAGTGAAACAGCTGTTTGGACATCAATTGTATTCACACAATTAACATCAAATATGATTAATGTCAAATCTAAACCCTCAGCTGCTTCTTGAAATCTTCCTTTACCCACCCAGTTCACACAGCTCTGCCAACTACCCACACCCTAGACCTTCAAAACTGACGTATTATCTATGTCACCTGTCTGTTTTTAAAACATAGTGTGCTTTATTAATGAATCCGGAAGGCGAAACGGCTTGCCTTGAGCCTTGGAAATCACATGCTGTTCCAACGTTCTGTTGCATTTACAGGATGTGACGATCATCATTTGCTGGGCATGGGAAGATCACATCACGATCAACTCTGCTAGACTGCTTTACTGATGTAGTGCTAAGATTGCCACGTGCCCCATGCTAGCATTCCATAAGTACCTATGCATACCATTGAGAGGTTCATTAGATGGCTTCATGACTGAACAAAACACCTGACGTGAGCTACAAGCTGCCTGTAAAGGAGAACTCTGGAAAAGTATTCCACCGATGCATATTTCTCTTGAACAGCGTGCAGTTATTTTTTGCAGTCATTTAAATTTTGATACCACTTGATTGCAAGAAAGCCTCCAAGCGGCTTACAGAAATATGAAGTATTTTGATCTTTAAAAACAGTTAAGATTGATATTTTAAAATATTCAAAAGATTAAAATCAACAATAGCCAACTAGAAGAAAACACATGCAACTTCTGCGTGTTTGCATAGGCATGGGTAAACATACACATATTTAAGCAAGTACAGTGGTACCTCAGGTTAAGAAATTAATTCGTTCTGGAGGTCTGTTCTTAACCTGAAACTGTTCTTAACCTGAAGCACTTTAGCTAATGGGGCCTCCCGCTGCTGCCGTGCCGCCGGAGCACAATTTCTGTTCTCATCCTGAAGCAAAGTTCTTAACCCGAGGTAATATTTCTGGGTTAGCGGAGTCTGTAACCTGAAGGTATCACTGTACTGAAAAGAGTACAGCCAAGGCACCTAATGTCAGGAGGCTGGGAGTTCCAAAGATCAATTTCTTACAACAGACCCTCCAAGTGTCCCTATTTTCCAGGGACATACCTAATTTAGAGAAGCCATCACAGTTTCTGATTTGATCCCGGAATGTCCCACTTTTCCTTAAGGTAAAGGTAAAGAGACCCCTGACCATTAGATCCAGTCGTGTCCGACTCTGGGGTTGTGGCGCTCATCTCGCTTTATTGGCCGAGGGAGCCAGTGTACAGCTTCCGGGTCATGTGGCCAGCATGACTAAGCCGCTTCTGGCGAACCAGAGCAGCGCACAGAAACGCCGTTTACCTTCCCGCCAGAGCGGTACCTATTTATCTACTTGCACTTTGACGTGCTTTTGAACTGCTAGGTTGGCAGTAGCAGGGACCAAGTAACAGGAGCTCACCCCGTTGCAGGGATTCGAACCGCCAACCTTCTGATCGGCAAGTCCTAGGCTCTGTGGTTTAACCCACAGCGCCACCCGTGTCCTTTTTCTTTTCCTTAAGATAAAGGTAAAGGGACTCCTGACCATTAGGTCCAGTCATGTCCGACTCTGGGGTTGTGGCGCTCATCTCGCTTTATTGGCCGAGGGAGCCAGCGTACAGCTTCCGGGTCATGTGGCCAGCATGACTAAGCCGCTTCTGGCGAACCAGAGCAGCACACGGAAACGCCATTTACCTTCCCGCCAGAGCGGTACCTATTTATCTACTTGCACTTTGACGTGCTTTTGAACTGCTAGGTTGGCAGGAGCAGGGACCGAGCAACGGGAGCTCACCCTGTTGCAGGGATTTGAGCTGCTGACCTTCTGATTGGCAAGTCCTAGGCTCTGTGGTTTAACCCACAGTGCCACCCGCGTCCCTATTTTCATTGAAGAAATGTTGGAGGGTATGGCATTATCTGACCCCCCAAGCCATCCTGTATAGGGAGGGTTTTTTTTTAAAAAAATGTTTAATCTGTTATTATGTTTTTATGTATGTTGGAAGCTGCCCAAAGTGGCTGGGGCAACTTGGTAAGATGCCTGGGGTATAAATAGTAAAATTATCATTATGGAATGGGATGTCCCTATTTTCCTCAAAGAAATGTTGGAGGGTATGTTACAAGTGCAGTGTATTATGTGGCATCTGTAACAGTACCAGTTCCACAAAATAAAGTTGTCAAGTGGGCATATGTGAGGTGAGGAGATCCTGCAAGTACAGAACACAGTCTATCAGGATGGTTACATCTGTGACAAAACAGCTTAATTCTCCTAGTGCATGCGTAGGCAAAGTAAGGCCCAGGGGCCAGCCCAATCACCTTCTAAATCCGGCCCACAGATGGTCCGGGAATCAGCATGTTGCTTTTATTTAAAATGCATCTTTGGGTTATTTGTGGGGCATAGGAATTTGTTCATTTCCTCCCCCCCACCAATATAGTCTGCTCCCCCACAAGGTCTGAGGTACAGTGGACCAGCCCCCTGCTGTAAAAGTTTGCTGACCCCTGTCCCCTAGTGGTTAAAAGATTAAAGGTGATGGCCCTTAATGATATTTCTTGGCTCCCTACTCCAATTTTAGCCAAATTATGACCCCACCTCCAGTAACTTTCTAAGAAACAGTAACTAATCATGGGATATCACAGGATTCTGGATTTGGAACACCAGTAACCCTGGAAGGCTCAGTATTCTGTGTCATTTGAAAATATGAGTGATCTGATGGAATGTCTTTATGCAAACACTTACAGAGTCATGGAATTGTAGGGTTGGAGTCACGAGGGTCATCTTGTCCAACCCCTTGAAATGCAAGAATCTTTCACCCAACGTGCGGCTCAAGCCCAGGGATTAAGTGTTTCATGCTCTACCGACTAAGCTCTACAGACACAAAATATGATTAAAATTAAACTGGCAGCTGCTTTCATATTTCCTTAAAGACGAATCACTAAACCATTTCAGGGTGACTTTATCTCAAGTCTCCTAAATAAAATCAGGTAATCTATCCATCTGCAAGACTTCCTAACAGCATAAGCCTAATCGTGCCAGAAGTAAGTCCTATTGAATTCAATGAGCCTTACTCCCAGGTAGGTGAGATGAGGATCGCAAACTCAGTATCACTTTCCACCTTATAGCAAACATACATGAACTGTGGTTAGGGGGAAAAGGATAAATCCATTAATATTTAGCACTCATTTAATTTTATTTTAAATTGTATTTTTAAATGGTGATAATAAACTTAGCAATCACGAGATCTGGAAACCATTTGGCAAATATTTTATTTGCATCCTAGTATCAGAGCTTTTCAGATATGACGTTCACAAAAGTCTAGCTACTGTTGACAGAAAATCAGAGGCAAATTCTGGTATGGATATTGTTCATCTTTGGTTTAAATTCGTACATTAAAAAAAAAGAAGAAGAAAAATGTCAACTACTCAGCCTACTTATCTCTGTTTATATCCACAAATCACTTATTTTGAAACATATTGCATATTAGCAGATTTAGCAGCTGTTTACATTCTGGGTTATCACCATATTATGGGAAACATTTTATATGCAAAAATTAAGCCTACAGAGCCACCTTCTGGTCCTCCATGGTTACTACAGCATTATTTTTTAGCCGTTTATTATCCTAAAGTGCCTTTAAAAACATACACAAGAAAGTGTTTGGAAAATCAAAATACAAGGGTAATTTAAAATTGCACGAAAACTACATTAAAAATCTGATTCTCAAATGCCTCGCAGATTGCATAATTATGGCATTTTCCAAATCATGGGACAAACAAGAAGGAAGAATAAATATGTATCTGCCCAACCTTCATTTGTTTCCCTCCCCCTTTTTCTTAAAATCTCAAAATCACAAGGCAAGCTTAGAGATAAGGAGATCTGGAAATCACCTGGCAATGATTTCATTCAAATTCTGATGTTAGCGCTTTTCAGAGACGCTGCCGTTACTATGCACTGAATCCAGACAAAGTAGAATGGATATGATATGGATGGTACACTTAGCTCTGATTTATACTTGACTTCCTGCAACACAACCACTTCATGGTTCCTCCACAAGCTGCTCAATATTTGTATTATTTTCTGACCACGTAGTTATGCTATATTGCAGCTTTCGCATCCATGCAGGTTTAAGCAGTCTAAATTTCCATGTGGCTCACTGCCACATGGCAGGCGTAAGGGTCATACGATAAAGACTCGAATCATCCCGGAAAGCTTCAGGCCCATTTTCCTGTTCATTGCACGATGAGTACATTCCCTCTAATTCTTGTATAGAGGTGTATTTAACTGGAGGAGGAGGCGGCTTGAAAGACGGCGGTCTGTTCAGACTAAAATGAAAAAACAGCACCCAGTGTATTTAAAAATAATACACAGCAAAACATAACAGCAACACACAATAAAATGGTAGGGAAGGTAAACAAAATTAAGAAGTCATCGTTCTGAGGAGAAAACGGCCTCATACATAAAGTTTCTGGGCAATATACAAGGGCAGCCCCACATAGAGCAGATTACAGCAATCTAGTTTTGAGGTTGCCAATGAATGGACTACATTCGGTTGTCTCTTTTATGCAAAATGTTACACTTAATTACAGTTGACAGGAGTTGGAATTGCTTGCATGATGCCTCACACTTCTGTGTACATGTGAGTACATAAAACGCTGAGGGTTTCAATCGGGATGCCAGCAGGAAAAGTAGTTTTGTCTCTTATTCGCCATGTTCAATAAGTATCTGTGATTCTGACGGTGTCTGAAGAAATTAGCCAAGGTTTTACACAGCACCACTCTTGTTGTATTCCAGTTCTTTATTGTGATGCGGCCCCCAACTGGGGCAAGTCAGTGTGATGCCTTGAGATGTTGCTGGATTCCAACTGCCATCAGCCTCAGCCTGAATGGCCAATATTCAGGGGTTGATGGGAGTTGTAGCCCAGCAATGTTGAAGAAGGGTGCCATCTTGGCTACCCTGCATTATGCAAATCGGTGCAGATGCACTGAACATGCTCAAGTCCCACTGTGATCAACGAGGCTCAGCAACTGCAATTTCAAGAATGCTAAATTACACACCATTCTAATCAGATTGCAAATCGCAGGCATGCATGAAGCTGCTTTATACTGAGTCAGACCACTAGTCCATTTAGCTTATTGTCCACTGTGACTGCCACCATTACCCCAGGTTTCTGAGACAGGGGTCTTTCTCAGCCCTTCCTGGAGAGGCTGGGGATTGAACCTGGAAGCTTCTCCATGCAAAACAGTTGTTCAGCCACTGAGCTATGGCCCTTTCCGAGTGCTTTCATTGGGGATTTATTTCACAACAGCACATTTTGTATTAGCATGCAAAATGCCAGGCGGGCATGTACTACTTACATTTCTCTTTGATACTGACACCATTTTCTGACTCCCAAAATGAATAAGCATGTGCATAAGAGAAGCAGAACGGCTACAACTGCTGGCCAGGGGAAGGAAGTCTTTCCTGGACTAGTTGCAGTACCTGAAAAAAGAACCCCAGCTATCATAGGCAAAAACAATACAACTTCAAACAGCTGCTTTCTCCTCTCCCATTTCTAAACCAAGGGCTGATTCAGACAATACATTTTTCTTGTCAACATGCGAGTTGTAACTGGTAGTCACAATGAGAAACAAATTGTGTGAAATTGCTGCTTGCAAGTAAGGCAGCAGCGCTTGTTCACAGCAGCTGGTAACCGAGGGGCTATGATTTTGAGGTTCCTCTAGCGGAGCTGTTAATTGAGCATTCATCCTGATTTGATTGCACAATGCATGCATGACAGTTATGCAATGTCCACTATTTAATGAGCATTCCTTCTGATGTGTTTGTGCAGAGGCTATACGACTTCCTGTCAACCAACCACTATCTATTTCTAGTGCATTTCCCTGTCACTTCCCTTACAGCAAAATGTCTGGGTTTCTTTTTCTTTTTTAAAGCAGATTTGTTGTGATAGGGTACTTTAATCCTTTTTAATTTCACAAATCTGCATTTTTGGTATGCAAACGAATCCCTCCCACGAAACAGTGACAGTCTGGAGGCGACCCTGGAAGCTGCCACAGCCATATCTGTTTTTGACTGATTGACACATTAATACACATCTCAATCCTTGCAGCTTTGGAAAGGTAGAAGTGCCAGTTAGCTCTGTGAAACAGAAGCTTGAGACGCATGGTTGTCTGAAGTACTGTCAAGATCAAGGAAGCCTTATCCTGATGGTACAGGCGCTCCAAGATTTCAGACAGGGGTCTCTCCCAGCCATATCTGGAGATGTAAGGGATTGAACCTGCAACCTTATGGGTGCAAAGCAGATGCTCTCCCTCTGAGCTTTGTCCTTTTCGTCCCATCACCTTTTGTGATAGGACAAAAGGTTCTGTTTCTAAGCAGGCAAACCATCCCAATGGTTTGCAGTTTCACAGTCAAAACCAGCATCTTGCAGCATGCTAGCAAGCAATAAAAAATAGCTCTGAGCTCTGAACAACTAGTTCCCACTCAGGATGTGAGTAGCCACATCCTGCAGTTTTGGTCTTTCAGGGCAACTGCATGTATGTCACATCTATGTCAATAGAAGCATTTGTGAGGAGCTGTCCAAGCGCTCCTTTGCCTGTTGTCCTCTGACAAGGGGAAAATAGAGGCTTTTGCTTATCTCTGCTCTGCTCTAACCTATATTTTTGGCGTTGCCCTTTCTGCCCACACAGAAATTCTCAGATGGGTCTCAGAGGAGCGAACGGTGCAAAGGCAAGAGCAAAGAACAGGAAGCTTAATTTAGTTTCGTATGACTGCTCAGGTGGTTATAAATGTCATTGTGAAACACTGACATATGCAAATTAGTGGCTGTTACTTCTAGCAAAAGGAAATGAGGCAAATGTAAGATGTTTCTCTGGAGCACGTACCATGGCATAATGGTCACTGATGATTTTTAATTTGAGTCAAAATAAGAAAATCAAACACACGCTTGTGTCTCAAATTGTCTGTCGGTTCACCGGATGTATGTTTCAGCCTTATGAAATTGCTCTTGGCGGATATGCTTAGAGTTGCTCTGTGCCACTTTTAGGGCTTATTTGATTGCATTCACTGACTTTTGTTAGGCTGTTTTATTTGTTTTTATTCCGAGTACATTGTTGTATAACCATTCAAAAATATCATAAAAGCTGTACAATGTACACCCACATACATAATCAGTATGCATTAAAAAGAACGGACCAAGAATAGCACATGTTTCCTGATTAAGAAAGGGCAATTTATGCACAGATTTATATCTAGAAAGAGCAATATTTGCATGAGATTCTATGCTATTCATTTTTCTGCATGTGCTCTGTGACACACATATTAGGTCTCCCAGTAAAAAAAGGCTCATAAGGAGCACCCACTGCTCCTGTACCACATAAAAGGTAAAGGTAAAGGTACCCCTGCCCGTCAGGGCCAGTTGTGACCGACTCTAGGGTTGCGCGCTCATCTCGCTCAAGAGGCTGGGAGCTGGCGTTGTCCGAAGACACTTCCGGGTCACGTGGCCAGCGTGACGAAGCTGCATCTGGCGAGCCAGCACCAGCGCCGCACATGGACACGCCGTTTACCTTCCCGCTATAAAGCAGTCCCTATATCTACTTGCACTTAGGGGTGCTTTCGAACTGCTAAGTGGGCAGGAGCTGGGACCGAAAGATGGGAGCTCACCCCGCCACGGGGATTCGAACCACCGACCTTTCGATCAGCAAGTCCTAGGCTCTGTGGTTTAACCCAAAGCGCCACCCGCGTCCCTGTACCACATACACAGTCCCAAATGAATGGTTAGTACTGGTGGTGTTCAAACAGCCCACTCCATGCAGACGTCTAATATGTGGCCGCACCCCCAATAGTGCACACTCTGCTGGTACCATCACCCTCTGATGTCCATGTGTGACATTTGAAGGAAAGCCGGCCAATGTATGTACAACTGTATGAGCATGGGCTTGCCATCCAGTCAGCTGTCCTGTGAACAGTTTCTAACTGAATGGAGAGCCCATGAGCTATACTCATGTGGGCTCCCGTTTCAAACTCTATGCTGAGCATGTGGACAAGGAGGTGTAAAAAAAAAAAAAAAAGGTAAAGGACCCCTGGATGGTTAAGTCCAGTCAAAGGCGACTATGGGGTTGTGGCTCTCATCTCTCTTTCAGGCTGAGGGAGCCGGCGTTTGTTCACAGACAGCTTTTCAGGTCATGTGGAAAGTCCAGGTCATGACTAAACTGCTTCTGGTGCAACGGAACACCGTGACGACAACCAGAGCACATGGAAATGCTGTTTACCTTCCCACCACAGTGGTACCTATTTCTCTACTTGCACTGGTGTGCTTTCAAGCTGCTAGGTTGGCAGGAGCTGGGACAGAGCAACGGGAGCTCACCCCATCGGTGGGATTTGAACCTTTTGATCAGTAAGCCCAAGAGGCTCAATGGTTTAGACCACAACACCACTTGCATCCCGGATAAAGAAGATAGGGATATGGAACCCATGGTACTGGAGGTGGAGACACCAGGCTCAACCTGGTCCTCCCTCCACCCATTGCATGTATGCATAGAAAAGGCCAATTGAATGCTCTTACTGTTAGATTTAATGGTGTTGTGCTGGAGAGCCAGTATGGTGTAATGGTTAGAGTGTTGGACTGGGACCTGGGAGACCAGAGTTCAAATCCCCACTCAGCCATGTAGCTCACTGGGTGACCTCAGGCCAGTCACCATCTCCTAGCCTGACCTACTTCACAGGGTTTTTGTGAGGATGCAATGGGGAGGAGAAGAACCATGTACACCATCTAGAGATCCTTGGAAGATAAAGGTAATAGATAGATGATAGACAGATAGATAATAAATAACAATCATTATCATTGAGGGTTGAAGGGTAGGATTTAAACATGAATCCCCTTCATATAATTCTCTCACCTAAGAGATACATGTTACCAGAAGCAGCACTGGAAAACCTACTAGATCTGGGCCCAAATGAAGTAGGTTTAAAAAAGAAACAGTAACTCACCTGTACTTTTAAACTGGTCCTTTATTGTGGATGAATTATCATGGCTAGTCAGAGAGGTTTCTTCAGTCACTCTTCTGGTGGATAGATCACCTTAAAAAACCAAAAACCCAGTGATCCCCACATGATATGTTACAGAAACTTTAAATTCCTATTCTGAAATGTTAACCATCTTAGCCTTTTGTTTATCTTGATGATAAAATTGTAGCCAACTAGATAATTTCCACTTTGAAAAGGGCTGAAACTGGCATCAACATAAATAAAACAATCTTAAAAGCTCAACCACACCTCAATGAGTTATAATTAAGGGCTAATTTGTTTTGTTTCAGGCACTTAAATTCAGTAATGCACACACACAAAAAGCATGGAGATGGTAAGTTAAGGTACCTGCCCTAACTTTTGTACACGTAAGCATTAGCGCATTCTCTAGCTGCACATTTTGTGCTCACTTGTGCCTGAACCTTCATGCATCCAAATGCATATGATGCCATGCAGTTCATTTTTATGTATGTGCTTGCTCACACACAAAGGAGTGCTACTCGTAGGGAGACCCATAAGGAGCACCCAGTGCCCCTGCACCAGGTACACACTTCCAAATCAATGGTTAGTACTAGAGGTGTTCAGGTGACCCCTTTCATGTGTACATCTAATGCATTCCCTCTTCTTCTTTCTTCTTCTTTGGCGATCACTCGTAGCTGAGTAAGATTGTCTTCCATGAACACGGTTTTAGCAGTGAGTCCGTAAGTGACTGTGGAGGCCAGTTCTGGATCCACACGTCCTTCCACAGTGGGGTCATAGGTTTCTAGGTGGGAGTTGATCCTGGTGAAGGTTTGCCAAGCGTGCCTTCCTCTTAGCACATTACTCCCTTTCATCCTGAGTGCGAGCATCTTCAAAGTCCATGACACCTTTGGTAAAGGCTGTTCTCCAAATGGAGCACTCACAGGCCAGTGTTTCCCAGTTGTCAATGTCTATACTACATTTCCCCCCGATTTGCCTTGAGAGAGTCTTTAAACCTCTTTTGTTGACCATCAGCATTACGCTTTCCATTTTTAAGCTTGGAATAGAGTAGTTGCTTTGGAAAATGATACTCAGGCACCTGCACAACATGACCAGTCCAACTAAGTTGATGTTGAAGAATCATTGCTTTGACACTGGTGATCTTTGCTTCTTCCACTCCACTTGCACCATGCAAGGTTGGAGGATGGATGGCGGCTAACTGATTGAGGTTTAATCCTGACAAGACAGAAGTACTGTTTTGGGGGGACAGGAGGCGAGCAGGTGTGGAGGACTCCCTGGTCCCTGAGGGACCAGGTGCACAGCCTGGGAATCATTTTGGACTCGCAGCTGTCCATGGAGGCACAGGTCAATTTTGTGTTCAGGGCAGCTGTTTACCAGCTCCATCTGGTACGCAGGCTGAGACCCTATCTGCCCGCAGACTGTCTCGCCAGAGTGGTGCATGCTCTAGTTATCTCCCGCTTGGACTACTGCAATGCGCTCTACATGAGGCTACCTTTGAAGGTGACCCAGAAACTACAACTAATCCAGAATGTGACAGCTAAACTGGTGGCTGGGAGCGGCCACCGAGACCATATAACACCGGTCCTGAAAGACCTACATTGGCTCCCAGTATGTTTCTGAGCACATTTCAAAGTGTTGGTTCTGACCTTCACAGCCCTAAATGGCCTCAGACCCAGTATACCTGAAGGAGCATCTCCACCCCATCATTCAGCCCGGACACTGAGGTCCAGCACCGAGGGCCTTCTGGTGGTTCCCTCACTACGAGAAGTGAAGTTTCAGGGAACCAGGCAGAGAGCCTTCTCGGTAGTGGTGCCCACCCTGTGGAACACCCTCCCACCAGATGTCAAAGGAAAAAGCAACTACCAGTCTTTTAGAAGACATCTGAAGGCAGCCCTGTTTAGGGAAGCTTTTAATATCTGAAGGACTATTGTATTTTAATATTTTGTTGCCAGCTGCCCAGAGTGGCTGGGGAAACCCAGCCAGATAGGCAGGGTATAAATAAATTATTATTATTATTATTATTATTATTATTATTATTTTCTAATGTCCACAGGTGATATCTGATGGGGACTCCAAACATATCCAGCTGTACACACATCAGCTCTCCACCCAATACACAGCCCTGTTTGCAAACCATTCTCAATGGAGAGCCAATACTTACATATCTGCACTCTTGTGGGCTCCCACTTCAAACATGGTGCTGAGTATATGGACAGGGAGGGAAGGGTTGCTGTGACACTGGAGGGAGAGACACCAGGCACAACTGGTTCCTCCAATACGCATTTGCTGTATGTGCAGAGAAGGTCATTTGAACATCCCTACTGCCATGATCGATCCTTATGATCATGGAGATTTGGGGAGGGGAAATTTAAGCATGAATCACCTTCCTTTAATCCCACACCTCCACCCAAGAGATCAATGGAAAGATTTCAAGATCAGGATCAAAAAGAAATGTTTGCAGCAGGATACATCTGAAAGAGAAACAGTAACTCACCTGTATTATTAAACCAGTCCTTCCCAGTGGATGAATGATCAAGTGTAATCAGTGTGGTTACTTCCGTCTCTCTGCTGGTGGATAGATTCCCTTTAAAAACAAATCCAGACCAACACCCCCAACATGATATATATTATACTGGCTTGATTTCCGTGTTCTGAAATTGTAACCATCTTAGCACCATTATTTATTTATATGATAAAAATTTAGCCAACTTGATATTTCAGTTTTGAAAAAGGGCTTCTGTTGGCATCAGCATCAAGCAAAACAAAAACATTGGTTAAATGATGAACTAGTGAGTGTAAGATGTCACTCACTGTGTTGTATCCCAGGGTTGCCATATTTTAAAGAGTGAAAATACAGACACAAAAATTGTTGAGTTTTGTTTTGTTTTGCCAAAGTTGTTGAGCTTTGGGCAAAATTGAAAAATAATAATATTTTTGAGATATTTTTAAGAAAAATCAGCAAAAAACCCAACATAGATTGCCATACATCCGGATTTCCCCAGATATTTTTGCCAATTTCCAACCACATACTGCTTCCGACTGCAGTATTCCAGTAAGCCCGGGAAGTTCCAGACATATGACAACCCTATGAGCAGAAGTGATGTACATGGTGGCTTTAATTATACATGTTTACAATTAAATTGCAGACACACAGAGATTTTTGAATATAGTTATAACAGAAAAGCAAATAATGTTCTAGCATTCCTCTGCACATGTCATAAATATATGTGGACATATCTTCACTTAGCCCCATATCTGAAAATAACCTTTGTTGTCTGGGCAATTTCAGACATTGTGGAACAGGACGAGGGAGGAAATCTGTGAGAACCGTCCATCCTTTTCCCAGATTTCCATTATAATATCCAAAGCTTCTCCCCCCGTGGTGAGGGCATTGAGTTCCCTCAGAATCTGCACCTCTGCATTGGGGAGATTTGAACAAATTTAATTTATTTTCCAGTGATCTATTGCAGCCCATGTATTTGGGGTGGGTGGGTGAAGGAGGAAAAGGGTATTCTTGTCAGACCCTTGCCCTCCACACTTCATCCGACACTTCTCACTTGTGTAGGAAACAGTTTGGGAGCGAGCGATCAATATTAGTTTGTTGGATCCTAATTGCGTGTTATGTATGTGAACTTTTAAGCAGAATGACTTGCCACAGGGAATAGCTTTTCACAGCTTGTAAGTCAAGCAAGCATCCGCAGCCTGAAAGAGGAGCAGCCTGCTAAGCGTGTTAGACATGAGAAATGATTGTGTTAAGAGAATCGTAATTGTGAATAGCAAGCACTAACCCTTAGGCCACTGGTTAGAGTCTTCCCGGATTAATGACTGGGAGCCTTTTTCCAGGCAGCAAGACAAGCAACATTTCAGTCAGAGCAATATGGTACAGCTAGGGGGGAAAAATCTAGCACGGGTTGAACTATTCAGTCTCTATGGGAAGGGCAACAGAGGGCTCAGAGTCTGGATGAGCCCAGAGTCAAAGACAGAGGTGTAGTGGGACAGAGACAGGCATGGATGAGCTCCTCCCACTTAATCCACAGCAGGGAGGAGGATATAACCTTCTGCGTGCCATATAAATGAGCTTTTCTCAAAGAGAAAGCCACCTGATAAGGTAAGCAGAAGAAGGGGTTGGTTGTATCTGCATGCCCGGCTAAGGGTTACATTGCCACATTTAGTTTGATAAAAATAAATAAATCCCAAATTCCCTGTCTTATGGACAACCAAAACGTCACAAAATAGTGAGCAAGCTCTATCATCTTTCTTTGATAGTACAGTTGTACCTTGGTTCTCAAACGCCTTCTGACTCGAACGTTTTGGCTCCTGAATGCTGCAAACCCAGAAGTGAGTGTTCCGGTTTGTGAACTTTTTTTGGAAGCTGAACGTCTGACGTGGCTTCTATGGCTTCTGATTGAGTGCAGGAAGCTCCTGCAGCCAATTGGAAGCCACACCTTGGTTTTTGAACGTTTTCAGAAGTTGAACGGACTTCCGGAATGGATTACATTCAAGAACCAAGGTATGACTGTATATGCAAAGGAATAGTTTGCATTTCTCTTCACTTCTGGATCTTTCATTGAAGTTAACTTCCCTCTCCCCCCCCCAAACCAAAACAACTGGTTTGTGTTGGGCAATGGGTCAGCGCATCTGGCTGTTAACATAAAAAGCTACTGTAGGCTACTTACTTTGTGGCACTGCAGAGTAACTGGAGATCTTAGTAACGGTGTTATCTTGCAGGTTTTTAGTCGAAAGCCCGGGCTCTGTGGAAATCAAAGTGTCTTTAAGGTCCTTGTTCAAAGTGTTGCATCAATGCTTTGTTGAAGAGATTTCCCATGGGACAGGTCACAACGCTAGTGAAAAAGCTTCATTTTGTGGGGATACAAATGCCCTGTTCATTCATTTGAACAACATGCATGGACGTGAAGTGTGGCTCGAGTGGGGGTGTGTGCTGTGCATAGCAACACCAATGCCATGTTCCTGCCACCTCCAACTCTGAAGGGGTATTCTTCCTGCATTTGGTAAATGGACTTAGAATCTTCCACATAAACAGCGGAACATACTTAAAATCTTCCTGAGCTTCCCTTTAGCCTCCTTGCCCCTCTCCCACACTTCTTCTGGCTTCTTCCCCATTTCTTCCTCCTCCTCCCTCCTACTGTAGGTTCCAGTGCTTTTTTTCCCTTAAAAAATATTTAGGGCGACTCTCATTTTGATTCAAGAGAACCACCATTTTATAGTTCAAATCAGGAAAAATAAAAACATTAAATGGACACTGGAGGTAGCAATGGGACTTATGATTCACCGTGCTAGAGAAGAAACTAAACATTTAATTTTTTTTTTAGTTTCTGCTCCCATTAGATTCACAAAATGTTTAGGGGTACGCGTAGTCCTGCGTACCCCCAGAAAAAAATGCACTGGTAGGTTCCCTCCCTTTCTCCCGGCCACAGCTTTCTGAATACCTCTTGCCCAAATTTTACGGAGTCCATGTTTTGAAGGATGACACATTTCAAAGTCTTATTTCAGACATTTCTATGGGAAGAGGTCAATCATCCTTGACATCTATCTGGGTTTGGGGAGAAAAGAAACTGGCTCTTTGACACTGGCTGCAAGCTTGAGAAGGAGAGACGTACAGTGATTAACACTCCGTGTCAAAGTGTCTCTTAGTGCCTGGCGCACAAAGGATGTTCCTATGGAAGCTAAGCGCCGAACAGCTGTCATTCGGATTATCTCACTGAGCAAAGTTGAATGGGAAACTTTTACAGTGAAAAGAAGAAGGCAAAGGGAAGTTACAGCTTTATTAAGGCAAGCAGGGGATTTGTCAGACAGCAAGAGCAACAAAAGCACTTTGCAACCAACATGACATTTATGAACCATGACATGGGACGTCTAAGGAAGTCGAGTGCCCTGTTCAACTCGGCAGCGGAGATATTCCACACACGCAGTACAGATAGTCATGTTGAGCAGTGCCAGTCAATGAAGTGAATAAAGAAGGACTTCCGCAAGTGTTTTCTCATATAACATTGCTGCATACAAAAGAGGAGGCTGTATCAGGGCCCCCTACACATCAACTAGATAAGAGAGCATACTTGAAAGCAATTGAGTTTGTATTCAGGTTCATGTTTTTAAAAGGCAAGTACATGTTGACATTTCAAAGGAGCATAGGAATCTGTTTTATACTGGATAAGGATCCCTCCTTGTTGTCCTTCCACTGGCAGGTGAAGACTTTCTTGTTCCAACAGGCTTTTGGGAACGGCCTGCTTTTATTGAAAGAGCTGGGGCCATGCTGTTTTTATTGGAATTATTGGTATGTTTTTAGCATATTTTACACACACACACACACACACACAGAGAGAGAGAGAGAGAGAGAGAGAGAGAGAGAAAATATATATAATTGGATTTTATTGATTGTTTTTTTCTATGTTTTTAGTGCTTCTTATTTTTATTGCGTAGGGATGCAGGTGGCACTGTGGGTTAAACCACAGAGCCTAGGACTTGCCCATCAGATGGTTGGCGGTTCGAATCCCCGCGACGGGGTGAGCTCCGATAGCTTAGTCCCTGCTCCTGCCAACCTAGCAGTTCGAAAGCATGTCAAATAGGTACCGCTCCAGCGGGAAGGTAAACGGCGTTTCCGTGCACTGCTCTGGTTCGCCAGAAGCGGCTTAGTCATGCTGGCCACATGACCCGGAAGCTGTACGCTGGCTCCCTCGGCCAATAAAGCGAGATGAGCGCCGCAACCCCAGAGTTGGCCACGACTGGACCTAATGGTCAGGGGTCCCTTTACCTTTACTATTTTTATTGCAATCCATTCTGAGTCCCACCAAGGAAAAAAGGTGAAGTATAAATATATAAGTGCATTGGGCCATCTCAGGAGCTAGAGCCAAGCAATCAAAGCACAACATGGTGTCAGTGAAATCAATCCCTTATTCAAGAAACCAAAACAGCGCAGGACTAGTGATCCCAGCAACTCTTCCCTTGCTTCCCCAGTAACAAGGAGGTTGCGAGGACTGAAGGTCCCCACCTTCCCATCACTTCCTAAGGCTCCTCCTCTCCAGGGTCTTTCCCAAGCAGTCATAAACTGTGCCTGCACACAACCCCCCTCCGTTCTGCCTTCTTCATTTCTTTGAGTTCTAGGAAACTGGGGGGGAGAGACAGAGCTAGTCACAACAGGAGGGGGAAACTGCCTGGGTTTTTCAGCAGCTTGCCTCTCTGTCTCCTGGCCCTACTCCCCTCCAGCCTCTGCTTCTGCCTCATAGTCTGAACTGCCCTCTGCCACAGCCTCTTCCTGCTCACCAAATCTTGTTACCGCATCTGCTTCTGATACCTTCTCCTCCCAGTATGCTCCTTCTTCTCCCTCTGACCACTCATTGTCATTCTGCCACCACTCCCCTGGCTCTGAGCCTTGGGGGTTCCCCAGCTGATGCCTCCCACCACTCCTCAGGATCCAGCCAGTCCATGACAATCCATCTAGCTCAGTATTATCTACACTCAAAATATTTTAGAAAAAGTTGGCTTGGCAACAAATGCGGCCGCAAGAAAACAAGCTCAGGAGTAGGTGAACCTGAACTAAAAAAAGAAAAGGAGAAACAGCCGACTGCTGCCCTTTGTCAGATGTATGAAATCCCATCATGATGCTATGCTGTGCCTGTCCTACAAGGAAATCTGAGCCAGCTCAAGACAAATGTTCAGCAAACAGCTGACTTGGTGCTCCATCTGGACCTCGGCAGCTCCTAATGTAATTTCACATGTGCACAATGGCTCCCAGGAGAGATGGATTCAGAGAATATTTTAAGAATCTCTCAGATTGCATTCCCTTTTGGGCTGCATCACTTGGCTATGATGAAGTCACTTCACTGCCGGTGCCTTGTCTGCTTATTTTACGAGGCGGACTTAAATATGTATATTAGAGATTTGGCAAATAAAAATGCTGCAGATGAACAGAGGAAGCGGGTTAGTCTTTTGCCAAGTGACTTGGCCAGGGAAGGCAAAATGAAGAGAAAAACAAAGGAGAGGACACAAAACCACCCTATAAGAACTTGGAGAAACACACACATAGATTTTATGCTGCTTCATGTTCCCCTCTCTCCTTCTCTACCTTGAAAGATCACATTCCTATATGTAGGAGCAGATGGGGGAATATAAGGAGAAGGGAGATGGTGGTTGAGAAGATTTGGCAGTGGTGGTAGATTAGCACAGGGATGGGGAAACTCAGGTCTGAGGGTTGAATGCAGCTTTCCAGGCTTCTCTATATGTCTCCCAGAATCCTCCCCAAACCATACCCCCTTCTGCCCAGACCAAACTCCTGCTTTCCACACTCATTGCCTGGCTAGATTGCATCTTTGAACTTTGCTCATGCTTCCTGTTTGCCTGGATGGGGGATGGAGAGAGGTATGCGAGTCAATCAATATTTTGCTTCTGGCCCCTGCCTACCACTGACCTGTGGCTGCCTGTTGGGAGGTTGGCTAGAAAGGAACTGCAGCTGTTTGGCTGGAAAGAGGTCCTCAACCCGAGATCAGAACATTCTCCCTTCCTTACATGAGTAGTGTGTAAGAGCAGCTTGAGAACATATTGACATACTTGATATATCTTTGGTCTATTGAGGTGCAAATCAGACATTCCTGAATCCCTGCACAACACCGGACTGAAGGAAGCTGCTCTAGACTGAGTCAGAGCAGTGGTTCGCCTTACTCAGTAGTATCTGTTGGCTGACAATGGTTCTTCAGGTTTCTGGTTTTCGTTGTTTCTAAGCTTTACCTGGAGATGGTGGGAATTTCAGCCTAAGATTTCCTGCAGGCAAAGCACACACTCTACCACTGAGCTACCACCCTTTCCCTATCCTTAGGCTTTGAGCGAAAAACTTGATGCTAATTAGCCTAGGGGCGTTGCATGGAGCATGTGGGTTCAATTTGCCATATTGAACTTTCCACATAAACAACAAATGTAGTTGGAGCATCCTAGGTGGAATGGGATACATGTTGGAATAGCAATATCAGAGCTTGGTAAGTATTTTAATCATTTATTGTTGGACGAATTTCTCAGAAAAGTGCAGAAAGTGTTTCATACAGATAAACATAACTTACCGGTACTTTTTGTGAGGGAATCCAAAACTGGAGTAACCTGACTACTGGATTTTGAAGCTTCCATCGTCGTAGTCTGAAGCCCTGTTGAAAATAACAATAGTCTCAAATGTAGTGGATGAAATGTCTAATAATAGCTTAAGAACAACTTAGTACTAACCGTGAGATTTGATTCTTGATAGTGAAATCAACAGTAGGGTTTGTATGGTGGGGTAAGTCAAACCATGGTTAAGCAAAAGTTCAAGAGTGCAAGAATGCAGGTTTCTCACCGGTCATTTTGCCACTGCACATGTGCTGTGCCATGGTTTGGCTTAGGATATTGATTGAACCTGGTCTTGTGGTTTAGCTCTTCCAGCTTAGTGTGGCATGCTAGGCCAATGTCACAAAACATGATCTAACATTAGTATTAATAATGATATAGTAGTTTGTATATGTGTATTTTAAGACACACAAACACATTTGCAGATTTCCCAATGAAGATGTCCAAAATACATTGAGATAAAAGAATTTCATTAGTTTTGCACCTGAATATCTTTGCTTGTTAAATTCATTCTTCTTACAACAGAGTTACTTCAGCATGGAGCTTTAGTAACCTCCCAGAAACTTTATGGTTCTGTATTTAGGTGGGGAAACAACATCATGGCAGCTGAGAAAAGGCTCTACCATTGCCACATTTACTCTCAGTATTTATGTGATTTTTGTGTGTGCAGGTTTTAAGAAAAGCACAAAAATATAGACTTCCACTTACTTTGTGTGGGGGAATCCGAGACTTGAGTAACTTGAGTAACAGATTCTGAGAGTGGCAAAGATGTAGTCTGAAACTCTGTTGAAAATAACCATTGCAGTGAACAATCCAATAATAGGTTAATGACAACATCACAATAACTGAGAGTTTGATTGGATTCTTGATGTACCAACACAATACACACAAAACATGACTTTTCATCAATATTGCAGTGACCTTACAATGACAACACAGGCTAATCCCTTGAGGCCAATGTTTTAAGATGAGAATACAAATTTCTAAGTACTCTGTGGTGCTGGGCAACATAATAAAGAGTGAAGTTTCATGTCTATTCTAAATAATTTCTAGATTATGAAAATATTGTAGAGAAAGTGGATAGAATTTTGAGGCCACAAAAATCCAGCAGCATTTTTTGCAAAACAATGTTTGCACTGACATTACAAACTTTTCTCCAACAAACGAAGACATTTTTATTTGCCCAGGCATTTTAAATTTGTTTTACTGCCTGAGCCTGCTTCATAGTATTGCTGCCTTTCAGGGTTTTTTTCCCTATAAAAGATGTGTGGTGTTGATGTGATGTATTATCATTTTTACTGTTGCTGTACACCACTGTGGATTCTGTCATAATTGTGGTTTAGAAATTTTATAAATAATACAAAAAAGAAGAAGAATATATTGCCTGCTGAATATGTATTTGTACTGAATATATACTAGCATATTCAACTGTTTTCTTAGCATGACTGAATTTATACCTTGAAAACATGTGTGCAGTGATTTATGGAACGAAGTGTTTTTCTTTTGTTTCTGCAGACTTCGCATTGTCAAAGAGGCTTCAGTTAGATTGAGTTCATGCATATCATATGCTCTTTGGATTTCAGGTGGCTCATAACTTAATTTGACTTACCATAAGGGAGAACTATTTCTTCAGATGAAATGTCATTTCCAGGGAAAGGATACACAGACATGCATTTGAAAGGCTGATAAATGGATGGCCAAGTTGTACTTCGTATTGTCAGCAGTGATCTCCTCTCATAAAAACCTCCCTCAAACTTTGCATCTTCTTTTTGTATGGATATTCCTTTGAAAAATAAGTAGAAATGAGATCGGTCTTTATTTATTCCCTTTTTTAACCTTTAAAACTCATATTCAAACCTTTAAAACTCAAAGAAAACTCAAACCAGCTAAGAAGAAGGATAAAACCGTAGCTCAAAGTTTTAGCACTGGGCCACAGTAAAGTGACAGAGCACCTATTTTGCATGCAAAAGATCCCAGGTTAAATCTTGGTGCTTCCAGAAAGGGCTGACAAAGACTTCTGCCAGAAACCCTGGAAAGTCAATACTGAGCTTTCTGGAACAATGGTCTGACTTAGCTTAATGTGAACATCATTTCAGTGCCAGGTTAAATTGTACCTCTTCTCCCTGCTTTTGTGGAATTGTGATAATGGAATCCTTACTGTTGGTGTGCCTCTTTCTCTGTATTTTTGAGGAAGGTGGAGTATTAGTTTATCATTAAATGAGAGTTGTGTTCAGCATAAAAGCTGCTTTTCCTCCCACATAGATTATGAATGTTTACATTCTCCTGCTCACAGAAAGAGTACTGTGCTCTCTAGTTACAGCCGGATATTTTTTTAAAGTGAATTTTTGAAATGCCATTTTAGACAATGTTTGCATTACCTCTGGATTTGTCCTTCAGTATCTCTCCACCCATGTACCACTGAAGGTCGGGCTTAGGAAATGCCTTCCTTACCACACAAGTAATATTAGCCTATTAGAAAATCAAAGGAAAACAAGTCAATAACGGCTTGGCTATAATGAACATTACATTGCAGAGTAATGTTGAATCTTTGTGTGGGATAATCAGCCTCACATAACCTGCCCTTTTGTACTTATTTATTTACAGCACTTATGTGCTTATCTGCCAAGGTACCCAAGGTGGTTTACACTTTTAAAATGCGCAAACAATTACATGTTATTAAATGTAAAGTTGCCCTGTGGTGGCGATGAGACTGTCCAACTGATGTTTTGTTTACCTGTCTCCCTCATTGCCTTCTTCCCTGAAGAAGTCTCAGTGTCCTTTAACCTGAGGAGGAGAGCAGTTTGACTGGAACAGGAACAGACCTGGAACAGGGACTGGAACAGGGACAAGCACCCCTTGCTTTCTCCTTCTTCCCCAACAGGGAAGATGGTCTAAATCACCATAGTAAAGGTCCCATATCAATCAATAAATCAATAAGATGTTTGAATACTTCAGGCTAAGCTTTACAGAAACATTCAGTCTTTGATCCTCTGTCCCCATAATCACCCTGAACATTTTGTACAGAGCTGCAGGTGTATTGAAACCACTAAAATATTATCGCTAAAATAGTTCAAAACATGAAGGAAAGGATGATCATAGCTGTGGCTCCATCTGGCATGCGTTTTGTCTAAAAGCAGAGAGGATGTGGTTTGGTACCCCGTAGACAGTGCTAAATATGAGGACACCGCGAGCAGACCACAAGAGCCTTATTCTCGATGCATACAATGCAAAATACTAAACTACCTAGAGAAAGATGAGCTGTTAAAAAAACGATTTTACCTTCATAGATCTGCTTGTACCTGCAGAGTGTTATGTTAACTGAAGTTTGAAACTGAATGTGATCTGAGGTGCAAAATATAGACAGGGACTTAACATTTCCAGCCGTTTTAGAAAGCTCAGAACTGTGGGTGGTTGCTGTATTTTTTACTGCCCCCCTGTTGACCATATAAATAATTTATTTCACTTTTCTCTGCGGGTATAAAACTGAGAACAAGAAACACGATAGGAAGATGGACAGATATAGGAACAACAACACATGAGATTGAAATGACTCCTTAGGCTATCGAAGCAGGGATTATGTTAAAAGATGGACCTGTGTTTTCAAGCATATCAAACTTAGGAAAATGTTGTGATCTGAAATGGGCCAAATAAAACATTTTATTTTAAAATTAAAATAATATTATTTCATTCATATATATATATATATATATATATATATATATATATAAAATCTGGGATGTGTAGATTTTAAAATCTGAATTAGACTTTAACTCCTGGAGCCTTCTTCGGGTGTTCTTCTTGCATGTAAATATATACAGTTACCAGTGTACAAAGCTTGGCTCCCATTACCAATCCCCTCTATGCATTGCCTGATAATGCATAGAGTGGATTGGTAATGGGCGAGGCCTGCTTCTGAGATGACCCCATTCATAAGAAGGGAATGACATGGAGGGGAACGACATGGGCAACTGCCTTATACTAAATCAGAGCATTGGTCCATCTAGCTTTTCATTGTGTATATCGACACAATGGGTTTCTGGATGAAACATCGGCTCTGGATCCATTCTAGTACGGCTTCTGCGCTGGTCATGGGACCGAGACGGCTCTGGTTGCCCTAACAGATGATCTTCTTAGACAGCTGGATCGAGGTGGGTCGGGGCTGCTGATTCTTCTAGATCTGTCAGCAGCTTTCGACATGGTCGATCACGAACTTCTGGACCACAGCCTTGCCGACGTGGGGATCCAGGGCACAGTCCTTCAATGGCTGCGCTCGTTTCTCTCTGGTCGGGGACAGAGGGTGGTGCTTGGGGGGGAATTATCATCGTGCCACTCCTTGGTGTGTGGAGTACTCTCCCCGATGCTTTTCAACATCTTTATGCGCCCCCTTGCCCAGCTTGTCTGGAGTTTTGGGCTGGGTTGCCATCAGTATGCCGATGACACCCAACTCTATCTGTTGATGGATGGCCATCCTGACTCGGCCCCAGACACACTGACCAGATGTTTGGAAGCTGTGGCTGGATGGTTACGTGGGAGCCGGTTGAAGCTAAATCCTTCGAAGACAGAGGTCCTGTGGCTGGGACGGGACGATATGGGATTGGGGGGGGCAACTCCCATCTCTTGCGGGGGCACAATTAGTGCCAGCACCGTCCGTTAAGAGTTTGGGTGTAATCTTCGACACCTCCCTTTCCATGGACGCGCAGATTGTAGCTATAACAAAGGCGGCATTTTTCCATCTCCGCCAAGCTAAGCAGTTGGCTCCTTACCTCTCTCGCCCTGACCTAGCCACTGTCCACGCGACGGTCACATCCAGACTGGATTATTGTAACTCGCTCTACGTGGGGCTGCCCTTGAGACTGACCCAGAAACTCCAGCGGGTGCAGAATGCTGCAGCGAAACTCCTTATGGGGTCTTCACTGCGAGATCACATTCACCCGGTACTATACCAGCTGCACTGGCTCCCAGTGGAGTACAGGATCAGGTTTAAGGTGCTGGTTTGAACCTTTAAAGCCCTATACGGCCTAGGACCCTCGTACCTATGGGACCGCCTCTCCTGGTATGCCCCACAGAGAAACTTATGGTCTTCAAATAAAAACATCTTGAAGGTCCCAGGCCTCAGAGAAGTTAGGCTGGCCTCAACTAGAGCCAGGGCTTTTTCGGTTGTGGCTCCGATCTGGTGGAACACTCTGTCACAAGAGACCAGGGCCCTGCAGGATTTGATATCTTTCCGCAGGGCCTGCAAGACAGAGCTGTTCCACCAGGCCTTTGGCCAGGGCACAGCCTGACTCCCTCCCTCGGCAATCTTCGCGGAGCTCTGGCCCAATGGTTGCCAGTGGCTTGAATTAATTAATTTTATAATGAATGATTTCAGAGTGTTGTTTGTGCTGTACTTTTGTACTGTTTTATTGTTGTTAGCCGCCCTGAGCCCGGCTTTGGCTGGGGAGGGCGGGATATAAATAAAATTTATTTTTATTATTATTATTATTATTAGCTCTCCAGGATTTCAGAGAGGGGACATTATGAGTCCTGGAGATGCCAGGAATTTAACATAGTGCCTTCTGTATGCTTCCAACTCTATGATTCCATGATTCTATTCAAGGCAGCTGCTCCAGCACTGAGCTACAGCCCTTTCCCTGTGGTCAGGTAAATCCTGAAACAGGTTGCATGTAAACAAAGGACAAGGATGAGATAATGTGTTGTTCTTTTCTATTCTTTTATGTTGCCTACAGATGTCAAAGAACGAGTACTTTGAGCTAATGAGCATTCTGAATTCTTTCCTTCAAAGGTTCAATACCATCTGAGGGCCACATAATTACTAGGAGGAAATTCTGACTGGATGATTCCAAACTTGAGGGGGAAACGTTCCCAAATCAGTTGCCCTAGCTGGTTTTCTTGTGGCCAAATTCTCAGTTTTGTGCCATTTGATTGGATGACTGGAGCAATAAAGCTATACACTAACTCATGCATTTGTACCTCTAAATTTACTAACCTCTCTTGTGAAACTTGCTTGGAGGCCAATAGAGATTTCTGGTTTCACTTGAGCACAGAAAGAAAATACACGTTTACATTAGTTAGACAGCAGCCAAGTCAGCACTGCAAATTCTTACACAATAATCATTACTTGGCATTTATGAAACAGATTCAAATAGAAGAGGAGATGATGTTCAAGAACAGTACTACAGATACTAGGATCCATTCAACAGCCTAGCAATAGCTCAGTTATGGCTTTGGTTTCAACTCCCCACTGAGTACAGTTTCTTGGGGGAATGAGACTAGTTTCCTTATTTCTATTTCGCCAAAATCTGAAGGACAATTCACAGAGGCTTGACTATTAAAATAACTTTAGACATTTTCTTCCCATTTCTTCCTATGCAGCCACCTGCATCCTTTCTCAATCTTGGGTCCCCAGATGTTGTTGGACTACAACTCCCATCTTCTCTAGCTAGCAGGCCAGGGATGATGAAAGTTGTATTCCGACAACATCTGGGGACCCAAGGTTTGTTGCAGATATTAATATTGCACAGCATGAAGAAATTTGTATAAAGCATATACATATTCAAGCATAGGTTCTTCTTCTTAAATATATAACATAATTGTGATTAAATCAAAGATCAAAGCTCTGTTTCTTTCATATCCTGCATTAGTCTGCATCCAGCCTAAGGTTATGCAACTCCTGGAGAGGCAACTTATCATATCCTTTTCTCACTGTGCCAAAAGGCAAAGGCAACTACCTTTCAAAATGAAGATTTGCAAGTGAATACCTTGAACACATGATCTAAGGTTACACTCATGTGAAGGCCAACAGAGAACATCAACAATTAATTATCAACCCAGCTAGAAGCTTAGAGAGCTCTTTCTAGCTTAGTATATTCCAATGAAATTTTCCAATGTTAAAGCCTTAGAAACACACATACAGGCATTCTCCATCTCAGTGTGCAATTAAACAATTAACAAAGGCTGAGCAAGGCTGCTCTAGAGGGTCAGAGAGGCTTTCTGAACAAGGTGAGGTAAGGCACAGATGACTGCTGAGAAAGGATTTGCCACAAATTGGGCTTGAATCCTAAACCAAGATAATTTAAGGAAGTCGCCAGAAGGAAATTTTGCTGTCTTCTCTTTCCTTCCCTGAGCAGCCCCCTGAGCCATGTCCCACATTTTTCAGGAGTAACTCCCCCTCTAGGGAAGGCTATAGATTGGTGGCAGAACATCTGCTTGGTCAAAGGGTTCACTCCCAATATCTCCTGGTATGTCTAGGTAAATATCCCATGTCTGAGGACCTGCTGCAAGTGACCGCAGACAGTACTAAGCTAGATGGAGCAATTATTGACTCAGTAGAAGAAAACTATCTATGTTCCTCCATAGAGACTTTCTTAGGGTTGCAGACGGCAGGTAGTGGGAAGAGCTGACTGGAAACTTTCATTCTGTGAACTCCTTTCAATTCGCTTAGATTGGGGTCCAAGGCAATTTTCCATCAATGGCAATGCTCTATGGGCAAACTCAGATTGTACGAGTTGATGAAGCTGTCCTCAGAGCACCCCATCTCAAGCCCAGATGCCAAGCACTGGGCATTCCAGCACATGGATACTGAGGCTATTAAAACACTCCAGATATCATAAGCCACTGGTACACCAAATCATCAGAGGATTTGGGATAACATCAAACATGCTCAGGATTGCAATGCTGTAGAGCAGAGCCAACAAAGGGATGCATTTCCTGAGACTTAATAAGGCAGGCATTACTCTCCCTCACATTGTTGGCATGCCTTACTTCACTCAAACTCCCCAGTAGAAAGTCTATTTATACAATTAGGATGCAATGGGTTGCAATGCAGTCATTCTGTTATAGCAAGGACATTGGTAAAGAGAATCCTGTGGCAAAGAGAACGGCCTGCTTGTAATTAATTTTTGGCTCCTCTGTGAATGTAGGCTTTGTACTGATGAGCACTGGACAGAATGTAACACAGGAGGGGGAAGAATTTGTGGTCCTCCAAATGTTAGAATCCTAGAACCATAGAATTGTTGAGTTGGAAGGGACCCCAACTCTACAATTGTTAGACTCTAGCTCCCATCAGACCTAGGAAGCACAGCCACTGGTCAGAAACAATGGATGTTGCAGTCCAACGTACGCATGGCCACAGTTTCCCTGTCCCTGCAGTACAGAATTGCCACACAGTGGTCTTGTTTAAACCATACTATGGGGTTGGACAGGGACGCGGATGGCGCTGTGGGTTAAACCACAGAGCCTAGGACTTGCTGATCAGAAGGTCGGAGGTTCGAATCCCCGCAATGGGTGAGCTCCCGTTGCTCGGTCCCTGCTCCTGCCAACCTAGCAGTTCGAAAGCACGTCAAAATGCAAGTAGATAAATAGGTGCCGCTCCGGCGGGAAGGTAAACGGCATTTCCGTGCGCTGCTCTGGTTCGCCAGAAGTGGCTTAGTCATGCTGGCCACATGACCCGGAAGCTGGGGGGGCCACTAGGGGGCGCATTGGAAGATGGCCGACAATACCATCTCTCCGACCCACACAGGGTAATTAAGAGGCTGTTATGGGAGTAGGCAGCCTCCCTTGTTGCCCCAAGGAAATGGGGAACACTGCCCTTGCCTGCTGTGCCCATAAATCACCCCCTAATTTGAAAGAAGGGGGTGAGGGCCCTAGGCAGAATGCCCCCGTGTGGACCTCAGCTCTCCTGCACGCTGTCTCTGATCGCGCACTAGCTGCAGCAATTTGGAATAATTAATTACAAAAGAAGCAAATGCACATATTTCAAGTGAAGAAGGGGAGTGAAGTCTGCTAATTTAAGTGACCTCTGCGAAAGAAGACGACGGGTTGGAGAAACAGGAATATTTTACGATGAAGATACACCAAAGGCTGGGTATGTTGACAACGGGACTGAATGGGGGGGGACCTTTTTTACTTTCCTTCTATGTGAGTTACAAGAACCCCTCCTCATTAGAATCGTCAGTTGAACTGACCCAAGCAGGATGATTAAGGTCTGTGTGGAGATAAACTTTAACCAAAAGTATGCATTATGGAGATCGAGAAGCAATAAGAGCTTTTGGAATGGCGCAGCAATTAATTCGGAGTCGCCATCTTGCCAAAGGATTTATAGCCGGGAGGAAGAACGGACTTGTTTTCAGACTGCATTCCTGGTGAATCTCCTCAGAGGTTTTGAGAAAGGAGGCAGATTGGTGAAGATTAATGACGCTAAGACTGTTTTGATGTATGGAAGTGATGTTATATGGAAAACGTCTGGATATGGCTACTGAATAAAAAAAATAATATCCATGCAGGATTACAAAATGTTTTAACCAGCTTGTGGAGACTATCAGAGGTCACAAAGAGAAAGGAAAAATATATGAAAATAACAACAAGAGATGTGGAAAAACAATAAGGACTGGATAGTACTGTGAACATCATAAGGTTAGATTTGTGGACATTAAAACAGCAGTAAGAAGCAAGAAGTTGATTGGATCCCCTTTGGAACTTGAAATATGTGTACCCCCAACAAAAATTTAAAATTTGGCTGTGTAATTTGGAATTTATGTAATTTGGTTTGATTTGATGTGATTGGTCGGTTAATAAAAAATTATACTTAAAAAAAAAAAGTGACCCGGAAGCTGTATGCCGGCTCCCTCGGCCAATAAAGCGAGATGAGCGCTGCAACCCCAGAGTCGGTCACGACTGGACCTAATGGTCATGAGTCCCTTTACCTATGAGGTTGGACTAGATGACCCTTAGGTGCTTTCCAACTCTAGAATTCTATGATTCTATTCAAATGAGTTTGGATGAGCCTCAGGTTTGCATCACCCCCACCCCCACCACCCCGCTTCATATCCTCTCTTCTTCTAGCATGGTTGCAAGGAGACGAGAAGCATTTGCTTCCTGTTTCAATGGACCGTGGTTTGGTTTTATGTCTGTTGCTCACCCAGCCTTGTTCCCACAGTGCTGAATTGTGGTGTTTAGCATCATAGCCAAAGACAGTGTTTGCTAGACAAAGAGCGGGCCTATTATCTTGTCAACCAGTAAACACCCCAAGCGGGTGAATGCAAAAAAATGCAGACCAGGTGGTTTAAATTAAGGTCAGGAAGAGGTTGGTTAAGTAGCTGAATATTTTGCAGCTCCCAGAGCTGCTCTCTGCATTCTCACAATGCTGCGTCAACAGTCTTATTGTGTCATCCTTCCTTTGATCCAGTTCTGCAGTAACACTCATTGCCTCCACTTTGGTCCTCCACGTCTGCCAGTTATCCTTCCCCCAGTGACTTGGGTTGGGTTTTGTTCCCTCCAGATGGGTTTGTTTTACTTTGAAGTGAAGTTATGTTTTCTTAATGACTAATATCCTACATCCTCCAACTCTGTTTCTGAGAATCTTCTAACCCAGTTGGGTGAAAAGACAAATTTTGCAGGATGTTGGGGTTTGTTTATTCTCTTGCTAGCTATTATTTTGTACTCTCAACCAGGCAATGCAGCAGACAGCAAGGGATACTGCTGTTATATGGAAGAGAGGAAGAATAAAATAAACAGACTGTCTGACTTTTGTCCAGTAGTTAGTGATAATGCTGGGGTGGGTGGTCACACTTATGTAAGAAGTGAAGAGCAAAGCTTGAAAGAGCAGCATCAGGAGCAAACAAAAATCTATCTCAAGCAATCCATCCATTCCACTAGATGCTCTATCCATTTGACCAGATCATCTTTATGGTCTTGGATTTTTTCTTATCTATCAAGTTGTAAATGGCAGATAAAAACCCTGAATTATGTATGATCAGTGTGCCTGTCACAATCAAAACTGCATTTATCAGTCCAGTTAGTCCTGCCTCCAATACTCAGTGACCTTCAGGCTCCCTTCCAAATCTATTATTCTATGATTCTGTGATTATCAGAACAAACAAGTCTTGTCCCTTGTTTTCCATGCATGCCTGCAGCAGGACAATCTGCAAGAAGGGAGCTTGTACAGTAAATCCTTGCTTGCTATGATCCTGCCTCCAATCTTTGGCAAGCATCCTTATTCAAATGCTCATAACCTCCCTAGACTCATATAGACATACTCCAGGAAGTTTCTTTCCACTGAAAAATAATAATCTTCCACATATCGAACTACATATCAAGGAGAGGTATCGACTTTGTCCTAGTCCCTGACATATTAGTTTTCCATATGCAAGGATGTCACTCCTCTCCTCAATGGAGAGCATTTTGTTATAGAAACCATCACCAGACATAGACTTATCTAATCAATGAGAAGTGGGACTAAGGGCTCATGCAGACTGCCACTTGCCCCTGGGGAAACCCAATCTTTACCGCTGAATCGGAGCAAACATCAATTGGGTTTTCTGCAGATTGACATTTGCTCTGATTCAGTGCTAAAGAGCAGGTTTTCCTGGCAGAAGTGGTGCTTTCTAGACATGGCACAAGCGGGTGTGTGGGCAACCCAATATTTCAAGAGAATGGTAAATTCACATTATGGCAACCTTTCCAGCATCTGAAGTATTCTATATTCCTTTCACTCTTCATCTCAGCTTTCATGGAGTATGATTCCCTAACACAGATGCTCAGTCAAATTCTGATTGCCATCTGAGCTCCTGCTCCGGATCTCACAGCCATGTGAGGAAAGGCAGGTGTCAACTTGGATTAGGGCTGTTGCTGCTGGGCTGCCCACCCAAGCATGGTGTGACAGGTAACTTCTTTGTGGGCACCAGGCAGAGATGTGGCTTTTTAGTAAAACATTTTGCTGATGAAATAACTTTTGGGCTGGCTCAGCTTGCATTTATGTTGATGACTGCTGGATTTGTCAATTTGAGTTTTATTGCATTGGTAAAATAAACATTATTGGTTTTACACAGTGCAATTATTTAATCTGTTGGCCGCTTTGACTTTCCTTGGAGAATAAGGTAGAGTAGAAGTTTAAAAAAACTCGCTGTTTTACTGTTTCTGCCCTGAATGGAAGCATTTGAAGTTCTTCTAAAATGTAAACCGAAGCACATTACTTGCAACAGGAATGCGGTCATTCGAGCAGCAATGCAAATGCGTTATCTGGAGTCACTGCGAAAGAGATACCGTTTAAAAGATTATAATGCCCCTCATTAAAAACAAATCTTAATGTGTCAATTACTGCTTACCACTCTTCTTAACAACAAGATTGATTTCAGAGCAGCTTGTTCCAGTTGGATATGTAGCAAAGTTGCATTCATACAAGCCAGACATTTCCAGATTCACGTTCTTCAGCTGAAGAATCCATTGACTACATTCTATGTTGCTGGCTGTAATATCAGTGTGGCCGCCCAGGCAATTGTGGACATCCTTTCTGAAACTGACAGAGTAGTTGTAAGCCTTTTCATGGTATCGTGTGCCATAGGTAGGGTGGTACACAGCTATCTTTCTCGGCCGACCATCCTGAATCTTTGTCCACTGCGTTTGTGTTACATAGATATCCTTTTTCTTTGGGATGCTACATGACAGAGTCACATTGCTGCCAGGCAAACCATAGACAGTTTTCCCGTCCTGAAGGATGATGTTAGACTGGGCTGCAAGAGAACACAAAGGCACACAGTGTCATTTTCACATGCTCTATATCCTCATGTTTATAATTCCTAGGCTCCCACTGCACACCTGGCAGTAGAATATGGGGAAACTGGCATGAGCGATGTGATGAAGATAGCGGCACAAAAACAGTGGTTCTCAAAGGGTGTGGCGTGAGATTCAAGGGCAATCAATATTATATTTGGGAATGATTCATGTTATTACATAGCTGCATTATTTTATACCTTCTGGATATCCCACAAACATATTATAAATTAGCTGTGTTCTATGATATAAATCTAGCACTGCTAGGAGTTGTCTCTTTTTGTTTTCCATTGTATTTGTTATCAATAAAAAAAATGGAATGGCACGAGCAAATTTTTATTCTGAAATGGCCTAGAGAAAAAAGGTTAAAAGATTGGCCCCCACAGCCCTTTTCTACCTGTGTTGCCCCTTCATGGCTTCAATGCTGGAAGAGTCTTTTTGCCTGCTATCACACATCAGAATGCCAAGAGATCTGGGGACCCCTTCTTATGTGCACATAAGGTAAAGGTAAAGGGACCCCTGACCATTAGGTCCAGTCGTGACCGACTCGGGTTGCGGTGCTCATCTCGCTTTATTGGCCGAGGGAGCCGGCGTACAGCTTCCGGGTCATGTGGCCAGCATGACTAAGCCGCTTCTGGCGAACCAGAGCAGCGCATGGAAACGCCGTTTACCTTCCTGCCAGAGCGGTACCTATTTATCTACTTGCACTTTGGTGTGCTTTCAAACTGCTAGGTTGGCAGGAGCAGGGACCGAGCAATGGGAGCTCACCCCGTCGTGGGGATTGGAACCGCCAACCTTCTGATCGGCAAGTCCTAGGCTCTGATGCCACCCGTGTCAATTGCACAAATCCATGGAGAACAAGGCTGCCAGTGGCCACTTGCCTCCACTGCTGGAGGCAGCATAAAACCATAGAATAGCAGAGTTGGAAGAGCATGTCTCTGAATACTAGTTACTTGAAATCACAAGTGGGATGGAGCTCTGTTGCACTCATGTCCTATTTACAGGCTTTCTTTAAGAATCTAGTTGGCCACTGCATACCCCACAACCATCCCATTTTAACCAGGACATCTCGGATCACAGCAACCAGGATTGGGGAGGAGGTGGCCTTGCAAAAGCTACCTTGACTTTGGCCTTGCAGCGACAGTGAGCCACCAAAGCTAAGGTGGTGGGGGGCAGGCCTGGGCGGGTGGAGGTGGGGGGGAGGGTGCGGCAGCAGGCCAAGGTGTCCTGGGCATGCTTGCAAATGGTGGTGGGCCAAGGTAGCCTGGGCTGGTGAGGGACGGGGGGTTGAGGGAGTGTCCCCGATTTGGGACAGAAAGTGTTGGGAGCATATTCCCGTGTGAGAAGAGAATGCTAGATTGCATGGATTTTTATGAGATGGTGCAGGAGTCAAGTGAAGAGCTTTATCTAGGACCTACAATCATGGTATCCTGGCCTTTAAACGCTGTGTGAGTACGCCTTAAGAGACTTTTTAGAATAAAGAGCAAGAGTATATATTTTTCTAACGAGGAACAAAGAACAGTATAAACAGCCCAGGGATCTCAATTCAGCATCTTGCATTCAGGAAGCTGCTTCACTTTTGAGAGAATTCTACACAGGAAATTCTTCCTGAGAATTATGCTTAAGAGCATGCATGAAGATCAAAGTGCAACATCAACAGGGAATTAGGAATAAATATTTTAATACTTAACTTTTATTAATAGTCCTTTTATCTCAGAACGTGCTGCAACTCTTGAGTATCTGTATCTTTCAAGTTGTCATGAGGGGTCTATTATCAGGCCAAAGTTGTTAAGCATGGGCTGACTCTAGTTTGACTGTCTGGTCTGCATTTAGGCTTATAATCCTATCCAGAGAGATTCAGCTGCTTGCCCTATCTGATAGGATCAAGTCTATCCATGAGACTTGCTGAACCAGCACAGGAGCACTTAGGGAGAACCAGTAGATAGAACTATGGTAGCACCACAGCCGTTTTGCTTATATTGGTTTTTGGCGCATCCTACCATAGCGGTAGGGATAGGGGAGGAACTTGATTCCATTCACTTTTAAAGGCAAACCTGCACAATTTGCCATTTCTGAAGCCTTACACAAAGCAAAGCAGCCATTTTATTAAATTCACATTTCTCTAAATTCAGCACTGTGGTTCTTCAGTCAATCAATGTGTAGCATACTCTAGGCTGAAGTCCACATAAAATGCATTACCAAAAAACAACAACAACAACAACAACACCATACAAAATGCAAAATGTTTCTCTCTGGGGACAGAGGGTGGCGCTTGGGGGGAATTGTCATCGCGCCACTCCTTAGTGTGTGGAGTACCTCAGGGTGCGATACTCTCCCCGATGCTTTTCAACATCTTTATGCTTTTCAACATCTTTATGCGCCCCCTCGCCCAGCTTGTCCGGAGTTTTGGGTTGGGTTGCCATCAGTATGCTGATGACACCCAACTCTATCAGTTGATGGATGGCCATCCTGACTCGGCCCCAGACACATTGAGCAGATGTTTGAAAGCTGTGGCTGGATGGTTACGTGGGAGCCGGTTGAAGCTAAATCCTTCGAAGACAGAGGTCCTCTGGCTGGGACGGGACGATATGGGATTGGGGGGGGCAACTCCCATCTCTTGCAGGAGCGCAATTAGTGCCAGCACCGTCCGTTAAGAGTTTGGGTGTAATCTTCGACACCTCCCTTTCCATGGAGGCGCAGATTGCAGCTATAACAATGGCGGCATTTTTCCATCTCCACCAAGCTAAGCAGTTGGCTCCTTACCTCTCTCACCCTGACCTAGCCACTGTGATCCACGCGACGGTCACCTCCAGACTGGATTATTGTAACTCGCTCTGCGTGGGGCTGCCCTTGAGACTGACCCAGAAACTCCAGCGGGTGCAGAATGCTGCAGCGAGACTCCTTATGGGGTCTTCGCTGCGAGATCACATTCACCCGGTGCTATACCAGCTGCACTGGCTCCCAGTGGAGTACAGGATCAGGTTTAAGGTGCTGGTTTGAACCTTTAAAGCCCTATACGGCCTAGGACCCTCGTACCTACGGGACCGCCTCTCCCTGTATGCCCCACAGAGAAACTTATGGTCTTCAAATAAAAACATCCTGAAGGTCCCAGGCCACAGAGAAGTTAGGCTGGCCTCAACTAGAGCCAGGGCTTTTTCGGTCGTGGCTCCGATCTGGTGGAACACTCTGTCACAAGAGACTAGGGCCCTGCGGGACTTGACATCTTTCCGCAGGGCCTGCAAGACAGAGCTGTTCCACCAGGCCTTTGGCCAGGGCACAGCCTGACTCCCTCCCTCGGCAATCTTCGCGGAGCTCTGGCCCAATGGTTGCCAGTGGCTTGATTTGAATTAATTTTATAATGAATGATTTTAGAGTGTTGTTTGTGCTGTACTTTTGTACTGTTTTATTGTTGTTAGCCGCCCTGAGCCTGGCTTCGGCTGGGGAGGGCAGGATATAAATAAAATTTATTATTATTATTATTATTTATTATATTAGGGAGGAAAATTGCTTTTAAAAAATGTATATTGTAGGCAATACTGCATGCAGCTTCTCCTGTCTGCAAACATGCCCATAGGCTCCAAAAAGGTTGGCGACCCCTGTCCTACCAGGATATTCCAGCAGCAGACTTAAGGCACCAAGCTGAATAGATGCAAAATAATAATAATAATAATAATAATAATAATAATAATAATAATAATAATATCTATATTTATACAGGTACCTACTGAGAAGATCCATTAAAAAGAAACTGTACTAAAAGGAATTATTGTGAAAATAAGAAATATTTGGGAGGGTGCACCAAATTTTGTTCTCACTCAGGACACCATATTGCCAAAATCTGCCCATGGATATTCTCTTAAGCCCCATGTGAAGGAAAGGCTGCATAAGATCACTACAATTCGTGATCAAGGCTATACAACTAACACCCTTACTTCTGAAATGTTGCAACAGAGTGTGGAACCTGCGGCCCTCTAAATGTTGTTGGGCTTATATCACTGACCAGTGGCCGTGATGGCTGTGGCTTATGGGAGCTAGAATCCAATATCATCTGCAAGATTCTTCGCATTTCCCATCTCCCTCTTTAGTGCAAAGTCCACATTGACAGAGGTTCCAAAAACCAGAGAAAATCAGACAACCTAGCACTTTCCTTCAGAAATGAAATTACAGCTTATTATTGAATTCTTATTAATAAATGGTAAGAATATTTTAACCGCATCGTTATTAGCAAACTCCCCTTGAAAATACAGTTATGGTAAGAAGCAAAATAATTGCTCTGCAATGTCAGCCTAATGCAGTACTTCATATCCAAAAGTGAATTTTCGGAAGTCCCCAAGAAATACGACCCTGGATATAAAGCTTGAAGGAGACACCACCACATCGCCTTGGGTTCTCACCCTCAGCTCAGGCATGCAACAGATTTATCAACCTAACAGGAAGAGGTTTCTTTAAAGAAAATGAACTTACCATTGATCAAGTGTGTGAGGATGAACAAATAATGCACCTGAAATTGCCATCTCCTCTCCATCTTTACCTCACGTTGCTAAGAAAAATTATTTTTTAAAGAAAGAGTAACAACACATTCAGGTGTCTCTCAAAGAAGATAAAATGTTCTGCCCGTGGTTAGATATACAACAGAAGGACTTTTCTCCTATTTGCATGATGAGTTCTGCTTTTCATGCTTTCTTTCTCACATCTCTGAGAGGAAATAGATGCTTACAGGAAACCACTGTGTTTAGGGTTTTTCTATTTGAATAAACGTATGTTCATATGCAGTTTGCCAGGAAGAAGGAGGAGGAAGAGGAGGAGGAGGAGAAGAAAATGAAACAGTGCATGATAAGAAAACTTGCCCCCCTTTCCAAAATATTTTTGATCACATTTAGGTGGAGTTTTCAGCTCAAAATAAAACAGTTTGACCTGACAATGGACAACATTATTATTATTATTAATTATTATTATTGTTGTTGTTGTTGTTGACTTAATTTGTATAGCGCCCTTCACCTGAAGATCTCAGGGTGGTTCATAGCATAAAAATGCTAGATGAGAGCCAGTGTAGTGTAGTGGTTAAGAACGGTAGACTTGTAATCTGGTGAACCGGGTTCGCGTCTCTGCTCCTCCACATGCAGCTGTTGGGTGACCTTGGGCCAGTCACACTTCTCTGAAGTCTCTCAGCCTCACTCACCTCACAGAGTGTTTTTTGTGGGGGAGGAAGGGGAAGGAGATTGTTAGCCACTTTGAGACTCCTTAGGGTAGTGATAAAGCAGGATATCAAATCCAAACTCTTCTTCTTCTACTACTAGATAAAAACACAAAATACATATTACAAACAAGAACAAAACAAACCAATAACACCTTCTGGTTCCCTGGGAGAACATGAAGCCATTAGTGATATATGTGTATCTCATGTGGTGTAAGAGCAAATGCTTGTTCTTTCCCCTTTTATATTATAGCAGGAGTTGCCATCATAGTACCTGTGGGCACTATTGTGACTGCCAAAGGTCTAAATAAATAGCCGCTCAACAATCCACAATACACAAAGGTCCATTTGCACTTCCTATTCGGCCCATGTTTGCAGCAATTCAGCCTTTCCTACATTGAATACACACCCTTAAGTACACCCATATTTTACTGGATGCCAGGATCGCACACCCACCGCCCAATCTGTACTGAACAGGAGTGCTGTAAGTGGGACCAGAACCATTGTAACACAGTGCCCCCAGTTCCCATCCCACAGAGCCAGACCACAGGGTACCATGGTCAGTGACACCAAAAGCCATAAAGAGATCAAGAAGCAGGACCAAAGTCACATTCCCCTTGTCCCTCTCTTTGTAAATGTCATCCATCAGGGTGACCAAGGGTGATTCACCTGAACCTGGTGCCATTGATGAGAGATGCTCACCTAAAGCTCACATCCTTTGCTGGGGGGAAAAGGTGTGTGCGTGTTTGCGACTGCTGATGGCATTACTGTAGTATAGATGATATTTGAAAAACAAGAGGGTTGTGATAAAGATTATTAGCAAATGGCTTTTTCATAATTTGAAAGGAACCAAGGATGGGCCTCTGCACCATTATACGTTTTGCTTCAGCCAATCAACTCTGAAATGTGAATTCAACTGCAGAAGTAGATGGGTGGAAGCTCAGAAGGAAGACTGGGATGTTACTAATTTACTGTAAATTGGGGTGAGTGTTGGTGGGTCCACTGGCAGATCTCTGGATGGTTTGAAGTACGTAAATCAGTGAGGATTGCTTAGCAATGGCAACCATAAATGAATTCCCACCCTACCCCAAATTATTTGGCTGAAATGCCAGAGATGGGAGGTTCTTGGAATTGTTTCCTATGTAAGCTCAGTTAAGTTTCGGTACTCAAAACAATTTCTTGTGCTGAAAATTATTCACCCTTAAATGATAACACCTTATATGTACAGTGGTACCTCGGGTTAAGTACTTACTTCGTTCCAGAGGTATGTTCTTAACCTGAAACAGTTCTTAACCTGAAGCACCATTTTAGCTAATGGGGCCTCCTGCTGCTCCCGTGTCACTGGAGCACGATTTCTGTTCTCATCCTGAAGCAAAGTACTTAACCCGAGGTACTATTTCTGGGTTAGCGGAGTCTATAACCTGAAGCGTCTGTAACCTGAGGTACCACTGTACTTTATATACTCTGCTTGGCAGATCTTAGGGACCTAGGAGACAACAACACAGTAGACCCCACAAGCCTGAAGTCTACTTTCACCTGATTTAAATAACTGCTTCAACTTTCACCCTTTTATTGGAGGCACACTGTTCCATTTTCTGCTTTGTTGCCTTCCACCTCTCTCTCCCCTCACCTACTTCTCCTTTAACAGCAGGAGGAGAAAAAAGAGCAAGAGGTCAGCATATACAGCTATCTGTGTGACACAGTAGAAAAACTGCACAGTAGCAGTTTTATTGATCCCATAACTATTAATCACAATTGGAGACGACAGCGCAAGCACAGTATGATATATGCCATGTGCACAAGAGGGTCGCTCTGAACTCCACTGTAGTTCCTAGGTCATTAGGTCCTGTCCTCAGAGAGGTATGCTAACAACCATTATTCATCTGCACTGGCTTTCCTTGGACCCTGTTTGCTGGCCCTTGTCATAACACAGGGAACGGGCACGTCAGTGAAGATGAGACAAGAGGTTCCTGCTTGGTGGTGAGATTTAATTTATCCTGTTCAAGCTGATGTGGACAGGACCGCTAGTTATTTACACTTGAGATAAAATATAGCATTGGAAAAGAATGTGAGATCATGAGTTACGACTCCGATTCAAAACGTGCCTTGGCTTGCCAGTGGTATCCTTATGCCCGAAATGCTCCTTTGCAATATTCATGAATGTGCAGCAAAAGATAAACAGATAGCTAGCTTACACACACACACACACACACACACACACACACACAACCTAACACTGCAGTCCCTTCAGGTCCTGCAGTCTGGGCAATAATACCTCAAAGAGCAATCTTGCAGAACTGATTGCTCAGCAGAAGACATTGTTTCTTTCAATGCAATATATGAAACGATTCTGAAAAACCTCTCTCTGCTTGACTCTTGCAGATGCCAACTTCAGAATGCCAGTGGAATGGAGTTATTCCTTCTGCCAGTGGGTCATATGAGGCAACATAAACCAGGAAGCAAGGTTTGTCTAATACAAGGTATCCCCTCCTTTAATTTGCCAGTTTGATCGACTATGTATGCAGCAGATTGGGCACTGACATTGCTCAGTGGGGAGAAGAGGGCCATTAGAGAGAAAAAGAAGCAAACCCACTGAACAGATTTGAGTATCTCGCCTATAGAAAAGTCAGGGCAGGGAGAGGTTGTTGCAGCACAAAGCTGCTGCAACTCTTCAGTATCATGTAGGGAAACATCAGGAAGAACTTTCTGACAGTAAGAGCTGTTCAACAGTGGAACGTTGTGGAGTCTCCTTCCTTGGAGGTTTTAAAGCAGAGGTTGGATGGCCATCTTGTCAGGAGTTCAGCCTACACTCGAGTAGGACCCTGGCAGAGATACATGCCCAACTGGCATGTTGCTTCATAAGCTTTCTTCAACCCGAACATCACAGCGACTGATGCCAACCAACACTGGCACACTTAGGGATCTGCAGAGTTTGTGCATGATGCGTAACAGACCTCAGCAACTCAGCTTTTTGGCTTATCTACTTTATTTACATATAAACACACACGGAGCACTGAAACATGGCTCCCTCTCTCTCTAGCATCAGACAGCAAAGAGAAAAAGAACAAAGGACAATAGTCCCACTTCACAGAACACAGTAACACAAACATCCTATCTTAATCACTTCCCACTCTGTGGAGTCAAAACATATACTGTCACGTGATAGACAACAATCCCATGACTGCAATCATGGAGCAGGAATTCTAACACATCTGTCATGGATGCTTTAGTTGAGATTCCTGCATTGCAGGGAGTTGGACTAGATTGGCCTGAGGGTTCCTTCCAACTCTGCAATTCTGATCCTAAGAGCTCCATTCTAGGACTGAGTTTTGGAGGATGTTTGAGCAATGCCTTGTTCCAATTAGTCTATGCCTTGTTCCCTTGCGTTATCCTCACACTGCTCCTGGCAGTCTGCACTGATACATTGGTGCAAAGACCTCTGGTCTGTCTCTTGAATCTGTACTAGGCACACAGGTATTTCTGACATCACAGGTTTATTAAAAAGGGTTATAAACAGATCCATGGCAGGGAACTATGCAGAGGACCTGAAGCACAGTGCCGCTAATCCAAGAGGAAAGAGGAAGAAGGCTGAAAGCTAGGCCACAGTGTGCAGATAATTCTCGAGAGCCAGTGTGGTATAGTGGTTAAGAGCGGTAGACTCGTAATCTGGTGAACTGGGTTTGCTTCCCCGCTCCTCCACATGCAGCTGCTGGGTGACCTTGGGCTAGTCACACTTCCCTGAAGTCTCTCAGCCCCACTCTCCTCACAGAGTGTTTGTTGTGGGGGAGGAGGGGAAAGGAGAATGTTAGCCGCTTTGAGACTCCTTCAGGTAGTGATAAAGCGGGATATCAAATCCAAACTCCTCCTCCTCCTCTTCTTCTTCTTCTTCTGTGTCTCAGATAGGGATGGAATTGCAGGATTAAAAAAAAGCAAACCCTGACAAAAATTCGTTAGACTTTTAGTGCAGATTTCTCCTGATATTTTTGTTACATTATTTTCACTACTATTATAATTCACAGTTTCCCCTCAGATACATACTTTCCTTTGGTGAACAACACCACAGAATGAGGAGAAGTGCAAGTTTTGAGGGAATTCTGGGTTTCAGTTCACACATTGTTCCAGGAAGCACGGGTTAGGTTGGCATTACAACGCAAACCAAACTAAACATCTTCCGCATCCTTAGACTGAATATAGCACAGCCAGTGCCACGTGAGAATCCTTGATGGAAGACAATGTGCAAGACTCTCTGCTTTGATATGCAGACCTCCCTGGGAAACGTGCAGAACTTGCAGCTCCAGAAGACACGATAGTTAGAAGGGAGAGTCATGAAAGAACTCGGTGGAATTGTGGCCACAACTTCACAAAGCTGGACTGCTAACGTAAAACGAGACAAATTCTGTGTTCTGTGTAGACAGTGTGTAGTGTTCTGCTTCAAAGTCATCAGTTTAGGAGGCACTTTGATGCTCTGCTTTAGAAAAGACAGAAGTCATTAGCCGTATCCCAAGGACATATG